TTGGCAACAAATCCACTATTGGTTGTTTTCAGTTTTCTCCAAGATGAGCAAAGCTGCATCTCTGTGTCCTTATTCTTCTGTTTCTGTAGGTTAAATTTTTTGGAATTTCTGGCCAATTTATAAACACATCTTAAATTTTGATTACTGTTGTTTAGCTGCCCTCCAGAAAGATTATACAAAGGGTATAGTTGTCAAGAATACTTGTTTTTCCATGTTTAACTTTGTTTATAGTTTTTAGGTTTTTTGGTTTGGTTTTGGGAGGGCAGTAATGAAGTTTTTAGTGTCATTGTTGCCAAGTCCATCAGTCTTTTCTGTAATGCTTTTTTAGCCTTTGGGGTCATGCTTTGAAAGTCTTTTGTGCTCCACGTTTATAAAGATATTCACCCACAGTTTTCTGGTACATTCAGGGTTTTTTAAAGTTTATAACTTAATATCTTTTTTTTTTTTTTTTTTTGCTGTACACGGGTCTCTCACTGCTGCAGCCTCTCCCGTTGCAGAGCACAGGCTCCGGACACACAGGATCAGCGGCCATGGCTCACGGGCCTAGCTGCTCCGCAGCATGTGGGATCCTCCCGGACCAGGGCACGAACCCCTGTCCCCCGCATTGGCAGGCGGACTCTCAACCACTGCGCCACGAGGGAAGCCCCTATAACTTAATATCTTTAAATTTGGTTTAAAAAAATAATTAGAGGGTCTTTGTGTTGGAGTCATTTTTATGGTAGAAAAATTTGAGGTACTTAAGGTTACTTTTTAGATATTAGATAGCCTTAGTCTTAGCCAAGTGTGGAAACAGTGGGGTTTTTTTTCTCTTTATTTTGGCCTTGCTGGTGCTTCAGCCAGTTTTCTGTCTTACAAGACTTGAGTTATGTACAAAGCCCATCAGGTCTGCTCAATTAACCAGCTACTCTTTGAGTACTCAGATTATAGGCTTAAAGACCTATAAAAGACCTATAAAAAGATAGGGATATAAAAGACCTATAAAAAATTTATCTAGAATGCCTGAAGTTTCCTTTTAATGTTCTTTGCATTCTGGGGTCTATGTTATTTTATTACATAAGTGCAATACCTGATGACAGTGTTGGTAATATAAAGGAGATAAGTAAGGTGAGATAATGATATATATATTTATATATTTTATTATAAATATATCTTACATATATTAATATATGTGATATATATTATTAATAACCTTCTAACCCCGAAATTCTATGAAGATTCTTTTTAATTACAGGCATTTCATGGGTTCAGGTAAAACTTGAGGAAAACAAAACACATGATCAAAATTTTGTATAGTTTATCTTTTTTGTTATTGCTGTAGCAGCTTTGTCCTTTTAATTGTATCATACTTCAAAACATCTTGAAATTCAGTCCTTAGTGCATTCATTCTGTGTTTGTAAAGGAAGACTTCTTAAAGTGAATATGATCTAAAATCTCTGCCATATTGAGAAAGCTTTGTTGTCTGTAAAGACAAAATGATCAATAATTATTCTTCATTGGAAGTAATAAATTGCATTTTATTAAAACGCATACCTATTTGTAGGTCAGATAATTGAGAGACTGATTCAAACATGCTTGTTTTAAACTAGAATCTTAAACTCTCAGCTGACAGTTTCTTAGTGAGCAAATGTACATAAATACTTGGTTTCTAAAAGTTTTACCAAGGTGTTATTATGAATTTAAGGCTTAATATCTCTATGCTGTTCACTATATGTCCTTATACTCTAGTCATAAATCATAGGCAATTAATTATAAATAATTAAAGATAGTGGTTCATATAGTACCTGGTACACAGTGGACACTTGATAAATCAATTTTATTTGAGTTGTTACATTTTATAAACATTCTACTTAGTATTAAGAAAATGAAAAAAATTGCACTTTAAGTTACATGTAAATAGTTCTTAGAAAATGTCATTCTATTTTCTAGTTATATTATCTGATCTATTTAATATTCAAGTCTAATAGCATAATTAATTTTGAGCATATTCTCACAGACTTAATACATGTAAAAGTCAACAAACAGACTCTTGCCACTTGTGTGAAGTGGCTATTTAACCATGAAATAAACTATTTTTATTGCCATTGCCCCGTGGATATGTTCTTTCTGGCAGTGCTGTCCATATTTGGTGGCTCTATGCATGGAGAGCCAGGTGGTGCTGAAAAGCATCGCACAGTGAAGCGTGGATATATCTAGGTTTGACATTTGTCATCCCTTACTGCTGAAGGGAAGGGTAAAATCTGTTTTTCCATATGCTTATGCTTTTTTTTGCCTGCAGTTTTGACCAGATGGTCTTATGAACATTGTTTACTTTAGGATGCTATCCCAGATGTTTTGAAAACTGATGGGTAAATGTGGTACACAGATACATAAATCATTTGCATGTTATGGTTTAAAAAATGCTATTTGGTCTTATAAGACTAAAATATAATTTATTTCTGGAAGTATTTTTCCAAGGGAATAATAAATATATATTTATGATATATATTATATATTTATATATAGTTAATATAATCTATATAGTTTATTTTCCCCAACCACTCTGTTTTCATATTAATAAGCTAAAAATATTATGGCAGCATTTATTAAGGATGTTAACGAAAGGAAATACTTTTGAGAAGGCATATTGTTTGTGGTTGCATATACTCAAATCTGTAAGAATCTTTCCTGCTAGTTTTTGTAATTCTTCTCATTGTGCATAAATCACTGAAGAGAAATTACCTGGCAAAATGACAACGGATTTATAATCAAAAGATTATCATTATAACTTTGGGCAAATCACTTAACCTGTTGGAAACTGAGTTTTGTTAACGTAAAATCAGAGTAACAGCCTTGCCCCAAAAGATGGAGCACTGCTTGGATTTAATTACTCTTTCATCTTAAATCTCTTAAAAATCACTGTGAAACCATCTAGTGGCAGCAGCTATAATGTGAGCCTGAAACTGGCTAATTCTGGACTTTAGTCCAGATCCTGGACTTTAGTTAGAATCTCAGATATTATATCTCAGATATAATTAAGAGGATCTGTATGGGACTTCCTCTTGTTTGTGTAGTGCTTCTTACGCACTGGCTGGCTTTTTTCATTTGCTTTTACATTCCCTTGTAGGTTTGAATACTGTCTGGCCTTTTCCTGCTTTTCCTTTTTTCTGTGCCTGGACTCTGCACCTCAGTGACCTTCTCCATTGATTGTACCAGCCTTTGTCCCCAAGCTCTGTAATAGGGTTTAATTTTTATCACTTATTTTAATATCTGGAGGACAGGAGAAGAGATCTATTTTGCTAGTTCTTTTCTATGTTAACTCAGAATTCTAGGGTTGGGTGTTAAAAACAGCTCTTCATTATCTAGACAACAGGTATCCAGTAACAACCAATAATGTTTAAAGAATAAACAAACAGGAATAAAGGGGAAAAACAGGTAATAGAGTTTATGATAAAATATTGCATCACAGGATAAAAGTTAAGAGTTGAAAGAAAATTTTTTTCCTTATAATAGATTTGCTTAATGAAAGAAACATCTGAGAAACCACCAATTTATTTCTCTCAATGAGAGGTTTCCAACACGTGTCAGAAAGAAAAGCCAGGATCATGAAAACCACAAAGTCAATGTAAAAGGCAAAACTCATATTAGCAATTCAGAAAACCCAGTTAGAAATGAGATAAACTTGAGGGGAACACCCCCAGAAAATATAGGAAAGTATTAAAGGGAGAAAAGTGAGAGCAGATAAACAGGGGACATGAAGGATAGTTCATGAAGATACAGATTTTGGCACAAATAACAATTTCGGGGGCCTCTCTGGGCTGTTTTTCACACTCTTAAATAGTGCTTAGCATGCCAGGTGCTTGGCAAAGCAAATTTAACTCATTTGGGGCTTCCCTGGTGGCACAGTGGTTAAGAATCCACCTGCCAATGCAGGGGACACAGGTTTGAGCCCTGGTCTGGGAAGATCCCACATGCCTCAGAGCAGCTAAGCCCATGCGCCACAACTACTGAGCCTGTGCTCTAGAGCCTGCGAGCCACAACTACTGAACCCACGTGCCAAAACTACTGAAGCCTGTGCACCTAGAGCCCATGCTCCGCAAGAAGAGAAGCCACCGCACTGAGAAGCTCACGCACTGCAGCGAAGAGTAGCCCCTGCTCGACGCAACTTGAGAAAGCCCGCATGCAGCAACGAAGACCCAACGCAGCCAAAAATTAAAAAAAATAAATAAATTTATTTTAAAAATTTAGCTCATTTAATCCTTATGAAAACCATGTGAGGGGTTCCCTGGTGGTGCAGTGGTTAAGAATCCACCTGCCAATGCAGAGGACATGGGTTCGAGCCCTGGTCCAGGAAGATCTTCTTTTTATTAGTTGGCATTCTCTTGTAAGGAAAAGTTGTTTCTTTTATCCTCCTTTAAAAATCTATTATCAGGGCAGACTCATTCTCATATTGTTCAGTGAATAATAATTTATCAGTACCCTTCTTTATTTTGATATTCAAATTGTTCCAGATTGGACCACTGGGAACCTGTTTAAAATGATGCCTGTGTGTTTTGACGTACCTTTTTTTTTTTTTTTTTTTTTTTGAGCACTTACTTATTTTCTGGCATAACAAAAATGTTATAGGCTCATTTGCCTCTTTTGCTGCCCCAGGTTTAGAATCAGCCTTTCCTTCAAGGGGTCTTCATTCCTTTTAGTGGGAATGGTGTTTAGAAACCAAGATCTGGTCTTTCCTACTTTTTTTTTTTTAACTTCATTTTAAAATATTTTATTTTTAAATTCATCTGGAATTTATTCTACAATCTGGTCTGAGGTACGGATGTGTATATTAAGATGAATTAAAATGAAGTGCTTTAGCAGTAGGATACAAAACAGGAGATACTTATTTGCGTTTGTATTCTTGCCCTTCAGGAACATTGATTCAGAGGAAGATCTTATTTAATTTTAAATAATACATTTAAATTATGTCAAATGATATGTATTTAATTTTAAATCTCGTGTCCATTATGTTTTCTCTAACTTAGATGCATTTTCTAGAATCATAAAACTTTATGAAGAAAAATGTGAAACAGGTGATAAAAAGGGAAGAAAAGACAGCATTGTAACATCTGTAAAAGGAATTACAAATTTAGGAAATACTTGCTTTTTTAATGCAGTCATGCAGGTAAGAGCTACAAGAAAGCTTTGTAAAATGTAAAAGTTTATATTAATTAATTTGTGTTTATTGGCATACCTGTGGACTCTCACATGACTGCTAAATGTTCGTCTAGAAGTCTGTCTGTTTTCTTTTTGATTGGTTAGGCTATCTTTAGCCATTGTCACATACATACACCTTCTTTTTCCACAGAGCTTCTGAAAGATCTCTGTATTTTACCATGGCTCTGTCAGTAGTAGTGACACTTATTACATGTAAAATGCATTCAATTAACTTTTCTAAAACTTAAAAATATTTTTGCTAGGCCAGATGACATTTGAAGCTTTGGGAAAGTATTTATTCTGTAAAATCAGAGGCATATTATAACTGAATCAGAAGATGTTGCTTTTGTTTTCTTTCAGAATTTGGCACAGTGTTACATTCTTACTGAACTGATGAATGAGATCAAAGAACATGGTACAAAACTCAGGATTGTTCCTTCCTCAGACTCTCTGCTGGTGAGAAGTATAATTAGCTGGATAATAACTCTGTTTAGATAAGCCAATGATGTTGCCAAAACCTATCTTTCTTATTTGTCACAACTATCAATTGAGATGGTAGTCAGAGAATTTGAAAAAATAATTCAAAAGCATTTTGTGAAAATAAACGATAAGATTTAAAACTTCTAAAGTCATAGCTTTAAGGTATGTTATAGTTCAAACATATCATAGGTCAGACAGCACAAAAAATGTTGAGGCAGCTTTCAAACAGACATACTAGAAAAGACAAACGGTTTTGGCTTTGTTGAATGAAATGTCTAGGATTCCTGTTTTGTAGTTACTGGTGACAACTACTTAAATACAGCATTTTTGTTCTTTAAAGGTAGATTTAATTTTAATAGTGACAATCTAAAGGTTTTTTGGAGCCTAATTTGACGTTGGGTTTTTAAACTAATGAGAAAGGGGGAAAAGGCAGCCTTTGACATTCAGAAGCTAGCCTGACACCCACAGTTAGGCCATGTTATTCAGACAATCTCACAGAATACCAGACTCGAGCTAGGTTACTCCAAGACTGTTACAATGAGACAGAGCAAGGCCACTTCATAATTTTCTCTAAACACAAACTCTACCACTTAGAAAATTCCAAACACCCTCTTTTGGCCTAAATGAGTCACTGCGACTTTTTTTTTAACTAGTTACAGCTTTATCCTCATTCTAGCCTCCTTTTATTGAGATATCCAATTGTAGAAATACCCTCACTTTCTGACAGCATCCAACTGAGAGCAGACCTCTGCTTCCTTAGATTATTTTCCTTAGATTATCTTCTTCCCTAAATCACCCAACTAAAGCCCAAATTCTACATCAGTTCTTTTGAATACCCTCTGAGAGACACTCCATGGTTCCCCATTGTGTGTGTTCTCCCTCAGAACAAGTAATAAACCCGCCTTGTTCAACTACAGATGTATTCCTGGTGGTCTGGGGCTGGAGGGCATTTACACTAATAGTTATGATTTCAGTTAGAAATTGATTTGTGTGTGTGTGTTTTAGAGGAACAGAGAGTGAATGTATAGCTCATGATCTGGCTTTTGAAATACTTAAGAAAGAGGAGTTCTAAAAGTTCTTAGCCCAGTGTAGTAATCTTAGATTTTTCTTCCAAGGAGGCAACTTTTAAAGACAATATTGTTGTATTTTTTTGTTGAAAAGGCAGTCTGTAAACTCATTGCCTGTTCAGCCTCTTAAAATTTTTATGTTAGAGCCCAATGCCCTCTTCTAGATTGTAGTGAGATAGTGAAGACTACTTTACTAAATGGAAGTTAATGCTAGTCATTTGAAAAGATTTCTTATTAACTGTGATTGGATGTTAGGTTTAAGTATTTCACATGTGGAGCTGTGAAATTACTATATATGGCAATCATATTATAGCTGATCACTGTAGGTTTGTGTCATTCTAAGAGGGAAATTTTCAATCTTAGGTCTTAGTTTTTTAGGACATAACAGCGGACCTGGGCTGTGGGACTATCCGTGTAGATCACTACTCTTTCAGTCACCAGTTTTATTTGGTCCTTCATAATCTGTATGCCTTTTCTTTCTTTTCCTTACTTTATTGTGCTGGCTCGAGCCACCAGTAACATGTTGAATAGAAGTGATGAGAGCAGACATCCTTGCTTTAATCCCGAAATTAGGGGAAAAACACTCAGTCCTTCATTATAAAGAGTAGGTACAGGGACTTCCCTGGCAGTCCAATGGTTAAAACTCTGCACTCCCAATGCAGGGGGCATGGGTTCTATCCTTGGTTGGGGAACTAAGATCCTGCATGGTGAGGCCATAAAAAAAAGAAAAAAGTAGGTACAAAATAAGCTTCAAGTTATATTGTACAACACGGAGAATAGCCAATATTTTATAATAACTATAAATGGTGTATAACTTTTAAAAATTATGAATAATAATATTGTACACCTGTAACATGTAATATTGTACACCAATATACTTCAATTTAAAAAAAAAAGAAGAGGATTTAAGACTAGACACTGCAGGGGCTTCCCTGGTGGCGCAGTGGTTGAGAGTCTGCCTGCTAATGCAGGGGACACGGGTTCGAGCCCTGGTCTCGGAGGATCCCACATGCCACGGAGCAACTGGGCCCGTGAGCCACAACTACTGAGACTGCGCATCTGGAGCCTGTGCTCCGCAACAAGAGAGGCCGCGACAGTGAGAGGCCCGCGCACCGCGATGACCCCCAACATCTTCTTAAAAAAGACACTGCACCGGAAAAAAAAAGAATGAATTTTTAAATTAATTAATTAATTAATTTATTTTTAATGTTGGGGGGTAGGAGTTTTTATTAATTAATTAATTTATTTTTGCTGTGTTGCGGCTTCATTTCTGTGCGAGGGCTTTCTCTAGTTGTGGCAAGTGGGGGCCACTCTTCATCGCGGTGCGCGGGCCTCTCACTATCGCGGCCTCTCTTGTTGCAGAGCACAGGCTCCAGACATGCAGGCTCAGTAGTTGTGGCTCACGGGTCTAGTTGCTCTGCGGCATGCGGGATCCTCCCAGACCAGGGCTCGAACCCGTGTCCCATGCATTAGCAGGCAGATTCTCAACCACTGCGCCACCAGGGAAGCCCAAAAAGAATGAACTTAACTGTAGGTTTTTCACAGATGTTCTTTATAAGGTTGAGGACATTCCCTTCTATTCCTAGTTTTCTGAGCATTTCATCATGAATGGATGTTGAATTTTGTCAAGTGCTTTGCCAGCATCTACTGAGATTATCATATAGTTTTTCTTCTTTATTCTCTGTTAATGTGGTAAATTACATTGATTGATTTTCAAATGTTAAACCTATCTTGTATTCCTGGGACAAACCCCTGTTAGTTATGATGTATTCTTCTTCTGTGTTGCTGGATTCAATTTGTTAATATTTATATGAATATCAGCAGTGTGCTTACTTTTTTTTTAACATCTTTATTGGAGTATAATTGCTGTACAATGTTGTGTTAGTTTCTGCTGTATAACAAAGTGAATCAGCTATACGTATACATATATCCCCATATCCCCTCTCTCTTGCGCCTCCCTCCCACCCTCCCTACCCCACCCCTCTAGGTGGTCACAAAGCACAAAGCTGATCTCCCTGTGCTATGCGGCTGCTTCCCACGAGCTATCTGTTTTACATTTGGTAGTGTATATATGCCAATGCTACTCTCTCACTTGGTGAGCTTCGCCTTCCCCCTCCCCATGTCCTCAAGTCCATTCTCTACGTCTGCATCATTATTCCTGTCCTGTTCCTAGGTTCATCAGAACCTTTTTTTTTTTTACATTCCATATATATATGTGTTAGCATACGGTATTTGTTTTTCTCTTTCTGACTTACTTCACTCTGTATGACAGACTCTAGGTCCATCCACCTCACTACAAATAGCTCAATTTTGTTTCTTTTTATGGCTGAGTAATATTCCATTATATATATGTGCCACATCTTCTTTATCCATTCATCTGTCTATGGACACTTAGGTTGCTTCCATGTCCTGGCTATGGGAAATAGTGCTGCAATGAACATTGTGGTACATGTATCTTTTTGAATTATGGTTTTCTCAGGGTATATGCCCAGTAGTGGGATTGCTGGGTCATATGGTAGTTCTAATTTTAGTTTTTTAAGAAACTTCCATCCTGTTCTCCATAGTGGCTGTATCAATTTACATTCCTACCAACAGTGCAAGAGGGTTCTCTTTTCTCCACACCCTCTCCAGCATTTATTGTTTGGAGAGTTTTTGATGATGGCCATTCTGACCAGTGTGAGGTGATACCTCCTTGCAGTTTTGATTTGCATTTCTCTGATGATTAGTGATGTTGAGTATCCTTTCATGTGTTTGTTGGCAATCTGTATATCTTCTTTGGAGAAATGTCTGTTTAGGTCTTCTGCCCATTTTTTGATTGGGTTGTTTTTTTTTTTGATATTGAGCTGCATGAGCTGCTTGTAAATTTTGGAGATTAATCCTCTGTCAGTTGCTTCATTTGCAAATATTTTCTCCCATTCTAAGGGTTGTCTTTTCATCTTGTTTATGGTTTCCTTTGCTGTGCAAAAACTTTTAAGTTTCATTAGGTCCCATTTTATTTTTGTTTTTATTTCCATTTCTCTAGGAGGTGGGTCAGAAAGGATCTTGCTGTAATTTATGTCATAGAGTGTTCTATGTTTTCCTCTAAGAGTTTTATAGTGTCTGGCCTTACATTTAGGTCTTTAATCCATTTTGAGTTTATTTTTGTGTATGGAGTTAGGGAGTGATCTAATCTCATACTTTTACATGTCGCTGTCCAGTTTTCCCAGCACCACTTATTGAAGAGGCTGTCTTTTCTCCACTGTATATTCTTGTCTCCTTTACCAAAAATAAGGTGACCATATGTGCGTGGGTTTATCTCTGGGCAGCAGTGTGCTTACTTTTAAAAAACTTTTTAATAAAGTATTCACACAGAGGAGTGTACATCATAAATGTAGAGTTGATGAATTTTCACAAACTGAATACACTGAACTGAAACTAACCAACATTTTTCTCAAGAAACAGAGCATTACCAGCAGCTAGAAGCCCCCTTTCAGGTTGCCTTCCATTCCCTGCCTTCCTGCCTCACAAGGATAGCCACTAACCTGGTTTCTAAAGGGCAGATTAGTTTTGCCTGTTTTAATATTATATATAAATGAAGTTATACAATATGGACTCTTACATTTGGCTTCTGTCAACATGTTAGTGAGATTCACCCATATTGCATTCTCATCAATAAACTTGCTTTTGTTTTCAAAATTTAAATATACTTTTAAAAACAGGTTATTTACTCACTCATTTCTGAAGTTTTTAAACTGTCTCAAAATACTTAAGTTGGGAGCAGGGGATACTTTACCTTAGTGCTTGAGCTTTGAAACTGCCTTAGATTTTACTTTTGACCCTTGAGGTGGCTTTCAATTTACTGAACATTGCAGAAATCACTTGTGATATTCAAAAGCTATAGAAAATTATAGCCTGTCTTTTCTGTGGTTTTAGCCAGTTGGCTGATTTTTAAGGATAGTTGGTATGAAATATATATGTAATTTGTATTTCATGAGTATATGAATGAGACAACATATGTGATAGTTGTCTTAGAAGATAACATTCTATAGTGTCTGAGGATTATATTTGGGATCTGCTTTTTATTCATTGTCTGTAAGGAGAGGGGTTACTAGCAAGGATAACATTTTAGAAGATAAAACTTGATGGGGAAAAAATTCTAGAATAAAGAGTGTTGCTCCTTCACACAGTTGTAGCTGTTTTTGTCAAACTGTATGTCTCTCTCCTTTAAAAGAGGGAGATAGTGTACCAATTTGTGACTTAATTTCTCATTCCTTATTTTGTTAGTAAAATATTTGCGGAAAAGAAGAGTATGGGGTTTTGCTTATAAATGTAATTTTTGATTATTTGTGAATTTGTACAAATATCAAGTCGATGAGTAAGTTTATTTTAGGAGGGCACATTAAGGGACAGTTACAAGCAACAAAAGATTGGTTTTTCACTCTTAAGCTAATAGTTTTATTAAGTAAAGAGCAGAGGATATGAAAATACCCGCATTTTTCAAGGTAAGGCATTTAATTTCATTTTTTATATATTCATCTTATATACGAGGGAATAAAGCTTCTTAATACACTTGAGGTGATTTAGTCATCATTTAAACAGAGTGTAACTTAGATTTTAAAAAATATTTTATTTAAAAATTGTGTATTTCTGATATAGAGTTGATCATGTTTTTAAAGGACCCATTAGTGGTGGAACTTTCAAGCCCTGGACCATTGACCTCAGCCTTGTTCCTGTTTCTTCACAGCATGAAGGAGACTGAAAGAGGACCGCTTTCTCCCAAAGTTCTTTTTAATCAGCTTTGTCAGAAGTGGGTACATCTACATTCTTTTTTTTTTGTTGTTGTTGTGGTATTAGGGCCTCTCACTGTTGTGGCCTCTCCCGTTGTGGAGCACAGGCTCCGGACGCGCAGGCTCAGCGGCCATGGCTCACGGGCCCAGCCGCTCCGCGGCATGTGGGATCTTCCCAGACCGGGGCACGAACCCGCGTCCCCTGCATCAGCAGGCGGACTCTCAACCACTGCGCCACCAGGGAAGCCCACATCTACATTCTTAGTATAAATAATCATGAGTTACAAAACACTAATGTGTTTATCACTTAATATGAGTAGTTTGACTCTGACTGTGACATGGCTGTTATTGCCTAGACTACCAAGAGAAAGAACTAACATTCGTTTAGTTGCAGCTGTGTGCCTTATCTAAATTATATCTCATAATACTCTGAAGAAGTGATTTTTATCCCCATTTTATATATAAGGAAACTGAGACCCCCAGAAGTTGAGTAGCTTACCTTGTTTCATGGTGACAAAAATAGGGTTTAAATAGATATCTGTCCTGACTCAGAAGCCCATGATGTAATACCATAAAGTGAGAAAATTATAGAATTATAAAATATAAGAGTGCTATAATAGATCATCTAACCTAGTTTTCTTATTTTTAAAGATGAGCTTTGAGGCATGCAGAATTTAAGTAAATTTCCCAAGATATCACAGTATATTTAAAAACAAAATCCTTGTGTGCCTAGAAATAAACACATGTCATAAGGGACCTGACATCATTTATTCCTTTATAGAAATTTGAGATCTTACTTTGTGTCAGGTAGTTGCTAGAATCCAGGGGAACACAGCTTATAATTTATTAAAAACAGACCCTTTCAGGAGCTCATAAACTAGTCCAGTCCACAATTAGTAAAATATGTAGAAACAAAATTCTTTAAATGTAAACTTGCATTTTTGTATATCTCCAGGTTTTAAAATTTCATTTTAATTTAAGCTAGTTACCTAAGCCATGGTATCATATTATATTTTATTGCGTTTTATTTTATCTCACAGTATTGTACCAATGTTAGTTTTCTTTTTTAAAAAAGTTTATTGTAGAAAGAACACAACATGAGATCTACCCTCTTAAAAAAATTTCAAGTGTACAATGTGTTATTGTTGACTGTAGGTACAGTGTTGAACAGCAGATCTCTAGAGCTTATTCATCTTGCTTGACTAAAACTTGTTCATTAATTAGTAACTCCTCTTTTCCCCTCCCCCCTTTCTAGGTACCTCACATAATTGGAATCATGCACTATTTGTCTTATTGTAACTGACTTATTTCACTTAGCATAATGTGCCATGGTATTTTAAATGTAGTCCAAAATGTGGAGGGTTTATTATATGTCTCATTTGGTTGCCAGGTGCTGTTTTTCAAAACAAAAAAAGCCTTTAAAAGTCTCAGAGACATGGGTGCCTCATAGAGTTAAAAAGTTTTTAGGACATTATGTACTTTAGAAATTTGTTTTTGACTCTCCCCAAAATAACTTTGTTTTGTGTCTTTTTTTTTTCTGGTTTTATAGAAATTTGTAAACATTTTCTAATTATTATTAAAATGATAGGTGCTCATAGATAAAAATTCAGACTACTGTTATCTGTTTTCTTTATTCTATCCAAAAGTGATTATGCATACATAGACATAAAAATAAATTGTTTGCAACTTGCTTGTTTTGCTTAATGTGTTTTATACATCTTTCTATATTAGTACATGTGGATATAACTTATTTGATTTTACATATAGATATGTGTGTGTGTGTGTGTGTGTGTGTGTGTGTGTGTATCATTGTACTTATGAGAGTATGTCTGTGGGATAAATAGAATTACTGGATCAATCGTTATTTGAAAATACTTTTAAATTGCATTTTCTTTTGCTTTATTGTATTTACTTTTTTTTTTAACATCTTTATTGGGGTATAATTGCTTTACAATGGTGCTCTATTGTATTTACTTTAAAAAGAGATATGTATATATTAACAAAAGTGATTAAAAAGAAAAAGTCAGGTAAAGATTTAAGCCATATATGTTGGGTCTATTTTTGGACTTTGTTCCATTGATCTATATGTCTGTTCTGACCCCAATACTGTACTGTCTTGATTACTATAGCTTCATACTAAGTCTTGGGATTGGATGGTGTGAGTCCTCAAATTTTCTTTTTTTGGGGGGGTGGGTTACTGCTCTAGGTCCTTCGCTTTTTTATGTGACTTTTAAATTAGTTTGTCAGTTGGGATTACATTGAATGTGTAGATCAGTTTGGAGAGAAATGACATCTTAACAATGTTGAGTCTTCCAATGCATGATTATCAGATACCTTTTCATTTATTTAGGTCCTTGATTTTTCCTCATCAAAATTTTATGTCTTTCATCCTATGAATCCTGCACCCATTTTGTTAGATTTACCTTAAGAATTTCATGTTTTTTTAAAATGGTAGTTATTGTAATTTGGTACTTAAATATTTTTTTGAATTTCTAGCTGCTCATTGCTAATATAGAGAAATACAATTGATTTTTGTGTATTGACCTTTTTTCTTGCTTCCTTGCTCAATTCACTTACTGGTTAGAGTAGCTTTATGTAAATTCTTTGGGATTTCTTATGTAGACAATAATGTCATTGGTAAACAAAGACCTTTTTTTTTTTTTTTTTTTTTGCGGTACGCGGGCCTCTCACTCTTGTGGCCTCTCCCGTTGCGGAGCACAGGCTCCGGATGCGCAGGCTCAGCAGCCATGGCTCACGGGCCCAGCCGCTCCGCGGCATGTGGGATCTTCCCGGACCGGGGCACGAACCCGTGTCCCCTGCATCGGCAGGTGGACTCTCAACCACTGCGCCACCAGGGAAGCCCCAACAAAGACCATTTTATTTCTTCTTTTCCAAGCTGTATCCTTTTATATATTTTTCTTACCTTATATTGCTGGCAAGGACCTCTGGTGTGGCATTGGAGTGGTATAATAGACATCCTTGCTTTGTTCCTGATATAAGGGGCAGAGCATTCAGGCTTTCACACATAAGAATGATAAGAGCTGTAGGTTTTTCATAGATGCCTTTCATCAGGTTGAGGAAATTCTCATCCCTAGTTTTTTTTGAGATCTTATCAAGAATGGGTATTGGTGTACCTTGATTCCTGGCCCAGAGAAAATGAGATAATACATGTTTTTTGTTTTATAAGAAAAAAGAATGGGTATTAAATTTTACTGAGTGCTTTTTCTGCATCTATTAAAATAATCATATATTTTTTAACCTGTTGAAATAGTGAATTGTATTAATGGATATTCTGAATAGCTTTAGTGAACATATTTTATTTACAATAAACTGTATGTATGTAAAGTGTAATATCAGTTAAGTTTTAACATATGTATACACTTGTAACATCATTGCCACAGTCAATATGATGAATGTATCTGTCACCCCTAAAAGTTTTCTTGGGCCCCTTTGTAATCCCTCTCTCTGGACTCCTTCCCCAAGCCCCGCCCCAGGGCTACCCTTTACCTATTTTTTGCCACTGTAGATTAGTTTGCATTTTTTAGAATTCTGTATACAGTTGACCCTTGAACAACACAGGGTTTTGGGGCACCAACCCTCCCCGAAGTCAAAAATCTGCATATAACTTTACAGTCAGTCAGCCCTCCAGATCCCAGTTTCCACATTTGTTGATTCAGCCAACTGAGGATCGTGTAGTACTCTACCATGTATTTACTGAAAAAATCTGCATGTGAGTGGACCCGTACTGTTCAAACTTGTGTTGTTCAAGGGTCAACTATAAATAGAATCATACAACATGTACTCTTTTTTTGGTCTGGCTTCTTTCACTTGGTGTAATTATTTTGAGATTCTTCCATGTTGTATGCATACATTGATTGATTTTTGAAAGTTGAGCCAATCTCTTGAAGTTTCTGTTACAATGGTGATTGTCAGACACTTTGACCACTTGTGATGAATTGTTGGGAGCAAGTTCCTCAGCTTTCCTCTGGCTTTTTTTTCCCCTTCAGTATCTTATTTTGCAATAGTTTTGAGACTCACAAAAAGTTACGAGAAGAGTACAGAGTTCCTGTGTACCCTGCATCCAGCTTCCATCAGTGATAATATCTTATATGATAGCAGCGCATTGTCAAAACCAGGGAATTGACATTAACATAGTACTATCAACTCCGGTATAGATCTTATTTGGGTGTCACTAGTTTTTACATGAACTCGTCCCTGAAAGGTTCAGAGATGCTGTAGAGTGATTCTATGTCTCCATTCTCATTCATGCCCATTTTTTAAAAATATGTATTTATTTCGTTGCATCGGGTCTTAGTGGCTGCAGGCGTGCTCCTTAGTTGAGGCTCGAGGGCTCCTTAGTTGTGGCATGCAAACTCTTAGTTGCGGCATGCATGTGTGATCTAGTTCCTGGACCCGGGGTCGAACCCAGGCCCACTGCATTGGGAACTCGGAGTCTTAACCGCTGTGACACCAGGGAAGTCCCTCATTTACGCCCACCTTTTTGGTTCCTTTATTCCTTCATGTTGCTAACTAGTATTGATGTGCTGAGCTTTCTTTGGGTTTTGTCCATGAAGAAATTACACACACACACACACACACACACACACACACATACATATATATTCCTAGTTTTGTGATATTCTGTGGTGTGTCATGTACCTTAAGGATGCCATCAAAGTCTGAAGATAAGTTGAAAGTTCAGAGACTTGCCTGGCAGTCCAGTGGTTAAGACTCCTCGCTTCCACTGCAGGGGGCATGGGTTCAGTCCCTGGTTGGCCTGGTTGGGGAACTAAGATCCTGATTGCATGGCGGCACAGCCAAAAAAAAAGATGAAAGTTCAGTATGCTATAATATTCTGGGTATGTTCTTCAGTATTGTCTTCTAATTTACTAATTTACCCTTCAACTGTGTATAGTTTAGACTTTATCCTATTTTTTGTATTTTTATATCTGTAGTTTTATTTTCTTATTTCTAATATTTTAATTTGCTATCTTATATCTACATGTTCTTATTTAAATTTTTTTCTATTTTTTGTAGTATCTGGGCTTTTATTGGCAGTTATGCCTTTGGACATTCTCAACATATTTATGTCAACACCTTTGGGACAGTTCTATACAATTTATTTGGAGTGAAGTAAATTCATCTCAGTTGTTTTTAACATTAGATTTCTTTATGTGTTTTATAATACTGGATTGTAGCCTTCTTTGGAGTGAATTTCTTGTTTTTCTGCTCCTGTCTTTGACTCCTTTGCTTTCTCCCATCCCCTCCCTTCGTCATATTCACCTCCTCTTTCTGCCTAAAAATTTTAAATTTTGTGATAGCCTCACCCCTTCCCTCCAGGCTGGCCTTGGAGATGCAGCTCTCTTAATGGTTCAGTTACCATGCTGCCCTGGTTAGCAGATGAGAGAAGAGTCTGTAGGTTTGGCTCAGGTTCAGGTCCCTAGGCTGTGCCTGTGTTCTGCTGTAGCCTTAGGTAGCACTTGCCTAAGGGCTTCCTTTCAGGCTCTTGGTAAGATCAACCATCCTTAAACAATGATCCTGGCTCTGGTCTCTGTCTGAAGTACTTTTAGTTTTCTTTACCCTTCAGGGCTGAGCTCTTTCAGGCCTAGAGCCTGTCAAGTCTGTTTTTTAGTCTGCCTACAATTTCATGTTCTAATATTTTTGTTCTGTGAGATTTTTTTGCATTGAATCCCACTTAAGCCTTTTTTGTTTGTTTGTTTTCTCTTTTTACATTTTGTTATGTTTGGAGCAGAGAGAGTTTTTGGATTATGAACAGACTGATTCATCTGCACCCAGAAGACATCTCCATGAAGTCTCTCTTGTTTTCAGTTTCTTTGTCTTGGCAGTCTGTTCCTGTTTTATGAGTGTGTATACATTTTCCTCTTAGAATTTGAGATTTCTGAAAGTTCTCAACTCTTTTCCACAGTAACGCTTTCACTAAGGCACAGTTCCTGTGAATGTTTAGAATTTCCCTTGTTTTGAATAGGGTGAATTTTTTTAGTGATTTTTCTATGTTTATCCTTGTTTTGAATAGGGTGAATTTTTTTAGTGGTTTTTCTATGTTTATCCTTTAAGTTTGAAGGTCTCTTTTGGTATTTATTGGTAGCTCAGATAGGCTCCATTAGAGATTCTATAAGTCATCATATGATTTGTTCCCCACCCTAAGTAAAAGAAGAAAGAAAAAAAATCTAGGTTTATTAAATTTTCTTCAGTGGTTTAGAAGGCAGTAAATGCTTTGTGCATGGTTGAGATGGAGCTATAGGTAGAGACATGGTGGAGACAGTTTCTCCTTTGTCTGGGAACTATTTCTTCCTGTGTGTCTGCTTCGAAAGCCATAAACTGTCTCCTCCTACCTGCCGCCTGGCTGGTGAGGCTCTCTGAAGGATCCCCATTTCCCCTCCCAGTCTTCTTCCACTTCCCAGACCTTTCCCGATACCTACAGCCTAAGTGTAGTGTCATGCAATTTCTGCCTTTATGAATTCCAACTGGGGAGGCCCTAAGGGGGTTGGAGTTTGTACCCATCTTGGTTTCTGTCCTCATCTCTGATCTAGGAGGTGGGCACTATCCACCACATGCAGAAAGGGAAGCCCACCAAGGGAGTAAGTGAAAGTGTTCTCTACATCATGCTGCTACTTGCTACTTCTTAGCAAGAGTGAGTAACTGAAATGATGCTTCCTGTTTCAGGCTAGATTCGCCAGTAGTTCAGAGAGTGTTTTAGCACCAGGGACTCACACTAGTACAATACTAGGATGAATATTCATCATGAGATAATGAGGAATAATGCTTAAAGTACTGGACTCAAGAACCAGAAGACCTGGATTTATGTCAGTGGCGCTCAACTTGTTCTTCAGTTTTCTCAAGCGTAAAACGGAATTCGTATTACAGTTGTCCCTTGGTATCCACAGGGGATTGGTCCCAGGACCGCCAAGGATACCAAAATCCATGGATGCTCAAGTCCCTTATATAAAATGGCGGAGTATGTATTTATGAATTCCTTAACAGCATTGTTGTGTACATCAAATGAAATACGTGGTATATGTCACAATAAGACCATTGTAGACTTGTCCTACCATGAGATAGTCTTACTATTTTGTATTATTTTGACAAAACTCTTCATCTTAGCTCAGAGCACTTTTAAAATTTACTAATTGTTTGCATTTAAGGCAAAAATATTCATTTTAGCATTGAGTTAATTGCAGTAAATATTACTTTTTAAAGTTACTGAGATCCGCTAAACATTTGCTGTGCTGATTTCTCCATGAATAACCCCTTATCCTTTTATTTAATTAATACACAGGAAATCTGATTGTCAAATTCATGAAATGAAAACCTTCATAGAGATAACAGTTTATGGTTCTTTATATTAATATAAATAATCTCTTGCTTTTCTTTTGCTTATATAAGGTAGGAAGATAATAGATCACAGTAGCTTGGGTTTGAATACTGTTTTTTAACCTGCCGTGTGACCTTGCAAATTAAATAGTCCCTCTGAACCCTCATATGTAAGCTAAAGAAAATAGTACATTCCAAGCTTGTTTCAGGATTATGTGAAGCTTAACATATGTACTGTACTTGGCATGTAGTAGTTGCTTAATAAGTGTTTAGCCATATTATTCTCAGTGTACTGAAGATCTCATCCTAATTGGAACAGTATTCACATTTTGTCTTTCTATTTATAGAAAAAGGAGTAAATTGAATCTTTGAATATATGTTATTTCAAAGTGATTTTAAATAATAATAATATATTATTGATAAGATGTTCTTTTTTTCTTTCCTGTTTTGTTTTTAAATCATAGGGCCCCTGGATTTAAAAGTTTTCAACAACAGGACAGTCAGGAGCTTCTTCATTATCTGCTCGATGCAGTGAGGACAGAAGAAACAAAGGTCAGGTTTCTTTGTGTTTATCACATATTCTGTTTAAGAAGAGGGTACAAAACTGAAGGAATTTTAACCAAAATTTTAATGTACGTTTGAGAGTAATTTGATTTTTTTTTTAAACTTCTATTTACTCTTCTCTTCCCCCCACTTTTTTGCCCCTTCTACCAGAAGATTATTTTTTCACTCTTTCACAACTCTGTTACCCTTTATTAGTTAATGCCCTTTGGCTATAAATAACAGAAATTAATTAATACTAGCTTAAATAAAGAAAAGGGAATCTAATAATCCAAAAAAGGGGGATATAGGACAGGAAGGTTCTCAGGAATCCGGAAAGTATTCTCCTTTTCCCCCCAGTTTCTATGGCTCTATAGATTTCCTTTTTTTTTTTTGGCAGTACGCGGGCCTCTCACTGTTGTGGCCTCTCCCGTTGCGGAGCACAGGCTCCGGACGCACAGGCTCAGCGGCCACGGCTCACGAGCGCAGCCGCTCTGCGGCATGTGGGACCTTCCCGGACCAGGGCGCGAACCCGTGTCCCCTGCATCGGCAGGCGGACTCTCAACCACTGTGCCACTAGGGAAGCACTCTATAGATTTTCTTTACCCATCTCTCTGTGGACAGAGTAGTTTCTTTGTTTCCCTGTCTGAATGGTAGCACCTGACCACCATGGCTTGCTGCTTGTGAATCCCAATTCTAAATTCCCAAAAGAGAGAAGTCCCATTATCCCATGTTGGATTGCAGTCTACTCAGGAACCAGGAAATTGGGGTCCCAGCCTCCTGGATCAGGGACTGTTTCTGAGTAAAAAAGGACTGGTTAGATTTCCCAAATAGGGTTTATTGTAATCCTGTCCCTTAATTGATTGGCTTTTGGTTGACTTTAATATTAGTTATATTCACCTTTTTTGGTGGGGTCCTATGAAAATAGTATACAATTTTTCAGAGAAAATATAAGATATTAAAGGTGCAAGATATCAAATACACAGCACATATCCTCCACTTCCTCCCTTTCTCTCTCATAGCAGACCCTGCTCAGCATTCATAACAGTTCCACTGAGTCAGTGTTTAGTCTCAGAATCATTCTCAACACAGCACTGTGGGCAGCCCCTGCCAATCATAATTGTTAATAACAGGTGAAATCCTGTTTTCTGTTCAAGGTGAATACCCTTCTTAATTGAAATATTAATATGGTTGTAGAGCAACCAGGTGAAAATGAAGTGCTGATATGTTTGTGGTAGGTGTTTACTATGTTACTAGGCAGGGTGGACCCTCCTTTTTTTTTTCTACTTTGTTTGAATTGTACATAACATTGTAGTGTTGCTTTACTCCTAATGACCAGTTTTCAGTGAAGAAAGAGTTATGGTTCTAATATTTTTTCATAAATTATCTTAAAGAATGAGTTAATTACACCCTCCTGCTGCCAAACAGTGTATATTACAATCCTATCCTTAATTGGCTGTTGTTAGACTTTCATATTAAATTAGTTGAATTCAGCTTCTGAAGGTGTCACTCCCTTTCTGCCACCTATTTTTAAGTATTTTGATTATGAGCCCTACTACCTTCTATTTAGATTTACGTCTATCATATCTCTTAGATTGTGGTCTCCTCAAGGAATGGTATCCCATGTGCCTTGCACACAGTAGTGCTCAGTGAATGTTTGTTGAATATGTTGTCTGTACTTACCTCCCGCCCCACGCCCTTTTTTTTTTTGTTGGCCACGCCTCTTGGCTTGTTGGATCTTCGTTCCCAGACCAGGGATCAAACCTGTGCCCCTGGTGGTGAAAGCACCGAGTCCTAACCACTGGACCACCAGGGAATTCCCTGTGCTTACCCTTTAAATGGTCAGTATTTCTTGAGAATTTGAATTGGGAAGAAAACAGTCTCTTAAATGATTTATACTAGCTAGTTACTTGGGGATTTGCAGTTATTTTGAATATGTTATAATTTGAATAAACTGTTAAATTGACAGGGTAATTCTGCGTTATGTTTTACCTGTAATTTGTTTTGAAAAAAGTCAGTAAAGAGACTTGTAATTAGTTAAGTTTTGGGACATTAACACAATCCCTCTGAGCTAATATTTGATCACATTTTCTTAGATCTAGAAACTGATATCAAGAATGGAGATTCAAACTTAAGTCTTTCTGACCTCCAAACTAATTATCTAATTTTATCCAATACTGCTTATTAAAGTTTAATTTTAATGCTTGGTCATCAGTGACTAGTATAAATAACCCATTTTTTAAGCTTGCTATTTAAAATTTAACCATAATTATTTCACTATTTGAAAAAAGTATTAACTCTGATTTAATAACTATGATATATATATTGATACTCTTATTGAAGGGGTCGATGCAAGGTAGTAAGGTGGAAAGAGATGCTCTTTGTGTTATGAGTAGTAAATGCATTTTGACCTTCTGAGCCTACAGATGACATAGTAGTTACTTTAGGATTAATTCAAACCATCAGTTGCTAGAATAATTTTTTTTCCTCTATGATTTGCAGGGTACATTTGCTACATGGTGGTCATGTATCATTGTAAATGGAATTAAAAGTCACTCTTTACAATGTTTTTCTCTGTTGATATTACAAATAAAACAATAAAATCTATCCCTATAATTTTTTTTGTTTTACTTTTATTACTTGATGGCATTCTTTGTTACAATTAAATTATTCTTTTGTCATAATGATGCATTATGATGATTCACAGTATCTTGAAAATTCAGGCAGTACAGCAGGAAACATTGGTTTTTGAAAGCTCTTATCTTTCTTCCTTTATTTGAGGGTTTTAGATGGGGTGGCAGAATTAAAATGTCAAGTCTGTGGATCTATTCAGTCTTGTAAGCAAGGACAGTCGTGCCAGTCAGTTACAGTGAGTACCCAAGCAGGAGCTGCATTGTCTGGCCTGGGAACTCTGCAGCTGTTAATCGGGCTGCTGTTGTAGTTTGTCTCTGCCATGTGTTTTTTGATTGAAGGAAGGCTATAGCGGTATGTCTGCCACCAGACTCTTCTAGTGATGATTAAAAACTACTGACCTCTTTTCATATTTTTTCATTAGTGTCTTTTTCTTATGACTCTGAAGTCGAGGAATATAACTCGCTGAGTAGAGAGCCAAAGGGATCATTTGTGCAAAAATTCTAAATTTTTTATGTGTGAAATAAACAAAATAAAATTCACAATAAGAACTTCTTTTACAGCCAGCCTTTTTACCTTAGAAATATATGCTTCTTTACTTTTTTCCTTTTAATTTGAGCTATCTCTAAATTAATGATGATTACATCTGCATTATCAAAGATATATCGCTTTAATACATTACTGGGTAAGATTATTTTAAAGGTAGAATATCTCAGCTAACTTAAATTATGAGTGTTTGCATTATTTTTGAAAGAAGTTTAACATGGAGGGCTTCCCTGGTGGCGCGGTGCTTTGGAGTCCGCCTGCCGATGCAGGAGACGCGGGTTCGTGCCCCGTTTCGGGAGGATCCCACATGCCGCGGAGCGGCTGGGCCC